ATGATTAGATTTCAGCTGCAGAAATTCACCAAATGTGACCGCACCTCAATGACCGACTAAACCAAGCAAAACGCATTTGAGTGAAGGTTGTGAATAAGTATTTCATTGGTCCTATTGAAGAAACGACTCCACCGAACGATTCAGTGTCTCGATTCTGAACAAGACTCATTGTGATACTGAATGACAGAAGCATGTTGTTCATTCATTTCAGATGCGAGCCAATCTTGTTTACAACCAGCAATGATAATAGCAATGATACAAATGCCCAGGAGTTGACAAAATGGTTGAATATTGATCATGCTTTGCTGTCCACTGCAGTCTTTTAGTATAGACCCAAACGTCTTTTATTTAAGGGTAGGCTAATAAGACTTTTTTTCTGATTCATAACTCAATTCATTTGTTAATAATCATGTGAGAGAACAATTCACTCAGTAACTCATAGTACACTTAAGGTGCACTCATTTAGCTACTGTTGCTCGTCTAAATCAGTCAACTCATTATCTTTTAATTAGCCTATTTTAATTCCATGGCGGACACAAGCTTCGTATGTTTGAAGCACTTTCTGTTAGTCTGTGGCAAATTCACGTGATTGCGGGATATAGTGTAAACTCGCAATTGCTCATTTTTTCCTCGCAATTTCAAGTTTATATCCCGCAATTCTGACTCCCCCCGCCCCTCCCCCTCATTTGAGAGTTAATATCTCGCAATTCTGATTCTGAAGGAAAAAAGTCAGCTCAATTCTGATATTTTCTTACAATTGCAAGTTATAAAGTCAGAATTGATGGTTTAACTTTTCCCCCTCAGAATTAGACTTTGTATCTCACAATTGTGAGTTATCTTACAATTCTCACCTGTAGGGTGCAGTCACATTTACCTTTGTACCATCTCAACTGACATCCATGCAATCTGGATTTTCATGCGACATGATGCGAGGCTGAACATGTCACCATGCGGATTTCGCAACGGTATCAATAAATTGTCCCCATACCCTCATTCAATATTCCCTGCTTTAATCCACTTTAAGGAATGAAAACGAGTGAGGGATTTCAGCAACTGAGTGCGTGGAATTAATTCAGTGCAACCCTCAACAGTGCATGCCTAGCCTAGATAGTGCATTAGCCGTTAAGTGTGGTGGCCACTCGTTAGTGCGGTAGGCTAATAGGATCGAATGAGAGCACTTGATGATGTCCACTATGGTTTCCACACAATAAGGCTTTCCCTTTAAATAGTGCACTATAAGTGTACAGGGGGCGATTTTAACGTTCACATCTGTTTAACTTTATGCAAATGAGGAGCGAGTTTCGGGATCGACAACCAATAGGAGCGGAGCGCGTATGATCCTTCTCCACATCATTGGATGTCATTCTTAAAGGCAACCAGTAGTGGGAACTCCCACTAGCGACCTCATCGCCAGCCACTGGTCGCTTGTAGTGTGAACGGGGCTTAACGCATGAGCACCACACAAAGAAAAGTCACTTTTAATCGAAGCAGCTTTCCTATTGGTCAACACGGCAAATTCGTGACAAGCAAAATCTGTGTTGTTATTGTATTTTTTTCTGTGTGGCCCTTTCACGGATTCATATTGAAATGACTGGTATTCGTCATCAAAAGTTCGCCAACTAGACTTACTGTAAAAATAAAACTGTAAACTCAGTAGGCACACTTTTAATGTTGGCATCGGAAACAATATTTTACATTGCCCGGCCTAACCATATATGTTGTTAATTAATATCACTCAATAAATGTAGCCTATAATTGCACTAGCTGTGACAAGGACACCTTAAAATAAAGTGTAACCTTTGCATCTACTGGTATAATGTAACTTCAAGGTCACTGAACGATTTGTGACCGAATCTGAATGAATCTTTTTGGTGAATGGATTTGAAAGATTTACAGTCACAGAGGAATCGAAATCCAAATTACTAGTTAACAGCCCATGTAATTTTAGGAGACTACTTCAACTATCTGGGCAGTTAAAATTATTGTTTCGGTCAAATGTAAATCTGTAACTCTCCCGAACTGAATCCCAATATTATCATTGCAGTATGGAATCCAAAATAACATTTTTGACTATTGTGTTGTTTCTGCTACTGTTTGAATCATCCAGTCACTCCATTGCATAACCATTGTGTTACGTGTGTATTCAATGTAAACTAGGATTGGACTAGGATGTCCACATGGAAAAATACACTTCAACACACAGCACTATACATGTGAACAACCTGCCAGGGTGTCAAAGGACACTGAAGAGCTGTAAAGTGGGTGTAAATAGTGATAAATATAAAAGCTCAGGGCTACCGTTGTACTTTCCTCAAACACACCATAACATACCTAGATTAAAGAGAGTGGGAGACATTATAATCTGCTGATGGTGTTGTAGGTGTAAAATTCATATGAAACCGAGGCATCAACACAGCTGTACTCTCCATTAGAAGCCTAATGGAGTGTGTGTGAAGATTGATGAGGCATATAAACCCAGATGGTGAATATACGTAGACTTGTGTGGCATCGTGACCTCAGAGGAGGGGAATGGATGGGGTGAAGGAAGTCATAGGTATAAGGACATGGATCACGATTGGAAATTCGAGGGAAAAGCCCCAGACAAAGTGATGGAGGAAAGAGGACCCATGGGAGAGTGAGAGACGTGTGCTGACATGGTGCTCAATCAACCTCAGTGGCAACGCTGTAGACCTGCAGCAGAAAACTGCTGATTCAGGAGAAGGGAGGTGTGGAACTGAAATGGAGTGAGGTTTTACTGCAGATGAAGCATTTATGACCTGCCTGGGGAAGAAGTTAATGTAGGTATGAGAAGACAATTTTTAAAAAGGCCAAAAGAGAAACTTCATTTTTAGGGTTACTCCCTCAATGGTTTGTTCTAACTTGTAAAATAAAGGCTTTTAACCCACCTTTCGCTCCACCAATCATCATCATCATCATCAATATTGCTGCAGTTTGCAAAGCTGAGTGTTAATTTATAGTTATTATAGATATCTACTGATTCATTACTGTAAAGTGACATAATTTTGATTTCAAACACGGTCAACCGTCAATACACTGTAAAAAATATGATGAAGTAATAACGTGTTTTTACATTTAACAAAAAAAAAAAAGGTTGAAAATCGCTTAACTTATTTTTATAAGTTACACAAGATTTTAAACATTTCATGTAATTTAAGTTGAAATGCCTTAAACATCCAAGTTGATTGTACTTAAAAAAGAGTTCCTGCCTTAAATGAATTTTTTTTTTTTTAACAGTGCAACTACTTTTATAGGAAATATCACCACCTAGTGGACCATTGTAGTAAAGCACAACATGCATTCAGGAAGATCATCTGCAGCAGAGAGAAAATCAAGCTTCATTCCTGGACATACTGGAGTAATGATGCTGAAAATACATCTTTGATCACAGGAATAAATCTCAATATTACACTTTTTACTGTATTTTCGATCAAATAAATTTAGCCTTGGTGAGCATGAGACCTTTCAAAAATATTAGATGAAATCTTACAGACCCCAAACTTTTAAAGGATAGTATATATAAAAGAAGAGGATGGGGCTTTTTTCAAAATTGGGGGGGGGGGGGGGGGGGGGGGGGGGGGGCTGGATTGTGTAAATGAGGGTTTGAGGCCAAACCTAAAGCAGTTTAAAATGATTTGGCTACTTTCCATTATATATATATATATATATATATATATTAAGAGACTTTAAAATAACGTGCAGTGATGAATAGTTCATTATAGATCTTCAGTAAAAAGTTCAAGGCATTATCGATCAGCAGGAGACAAGTTGCAAAAGGCCAATGTTACTCAACAAAGAGAGTCAATTTTAATAGTGCTTTTAATAAAGTTCAGCAAAGGCAAAAAATAAAACAAAACACTAAAGATCTCTACTAACATAACACAACCTTCATAGAGATGAGAATCATAGAGACAGAGCAGTTTGATTGGTAAAACAGTATATGAACATACATGAAGTTCCCTCACATGACAGTAGTTCTGAATATTCTTTATTTACCATTAGAAACGCAAAGCCAAATGTACAGTTTGTAGGATTTGTTAAAGGCTCTTCCCCTTTAGACAAGACCTGATATCTAAAATAAATCTGAAAGGCACAAACAAGGAGCGTAAAGATGAAGAACTACAGTAAAATAAAATTAAAAAAAATCCCAAACTAGTCCAAGCCATTTCATCGAACAATCTTAGCATGAACATGATCAACAAAACATGTCAATACTTTCAACTGCTGAACATATGGACACAGAACGCCACACACATTTCTCAGACTGTATTAGGGCACGGCTTTAAAAGGTCAGACTAAATACTATAAAACAAAATGGAGGGACAAAAAAAAAAAAAGAGATCCACAATGCACAGAATCAGGGTGAAATCCTCCTCAGTAGAGGAGCACTTCTTTCATTAAGAGCACAGTTCGGTTTCATCCCCCCAAATTATGATGCTGCCTGAGCTTCAGGAATAAATACGAACTACAAATGTGTAAAAGAAGCCTGACCGCAAGTAAAGTAGGAAGGGTGGTCTGACCGAGCACTTCATTGACACCAAACGCAATAATTGCACACGAACACACGCGGGACGACGCAAGCTCCGTGATGCACTGCCCAAAAACATGCATCGTACTGACAGAGCGGATCTTTAGCCAGAGTACAGCGTTAGAAAAACCCATGACAGACATACAAACACGTCAACAAATTTAGTGAGATCGACAACGTTACACTTAACTCGCCTGTTTTCATTGGTATCTCTGCTGTTAAACATACAAAGGTCTAAAAACATCGGAAATATGAAAGGAAATCACTGGAACACAGTTCTTGGTTGCTCGTTTTAGTGTTTGTAGAAGGTGGCAAATGGTGATGGAATAGTCGTCGTGTCGGACCGTTCGCTTTACACAGGATTCAGATGGCTGATCTAGCTACGGAAATCACCAACAAACACGTACGCTTGCAGTAAAAAGGCCGTCTTAACACACCAGAGTCGACTCAATTGGCTCCCTGCGCCTAATATTTTCATACATCTGAGGGGCAAGAATATTGTTCTAAAAGTGAAGTTATGGACTCCTGTGAAATTCTACAGGTAAAAGGGCCATCTTTAAAAGGGGGGAGGGGGGAATCTCTTGGATGGCACATTATTTTGTGCAGATATCGCTCAAACAGCACAGTAGCATTGGGACGTTACTCTTCAGCCCCCCGAAGTGGGAATCCCCTGATACATTGTTTCAGGTCTTGATGTGTCTTGCCTTAAGTGTAGACAGTTTTGGGTTTTGTTCCTCTCTTTTTACCACTCTGCATCTCCAATGGCTTTGGAGAACACGTAATCCCGACCGTTCAGATTCATGATCCCGTCTTTCAGGTGAAATTTCCATTTGTTCTTACTTCTGTGGATCTGAAGCAAAAGATATTGTATGAATATCGTTTGAACAAAACAAATAAAAAAAGATTTTTTGAATTAAATGTCTACGGGTGGAATTTGTTTTCCTATGCAATGTCTAATTTCACTCATTAAATCATGTGCTGTAAAAAATTGTCGATATTTCGATACTGAAATATCCAAAACCATTCCAATACTCATTTTCTGCGGTATCAATACACCAAAACCAGCTGTGCGCTCTCACAGCTGGTTCTTTCCGATGGCGAATTGACAGTTTGATACACACCCGCCTCCCCTCACTCGCTCCGGTTGAATAGTGTTGGTGTTACAGGTCCTGAATTTCAGTGCGAGGTTGTGGGTACTGCACATAATTTCTCATTCCCACAGGTTTCGCGCTCACACCAAAACCACTGATAAGTGGCGCTTTCATAAAGCCACCCCTCAAACAGCTCAACAGTACCAAATTTACTTTTTCATGGCTTATTGCTGTGTGTAAGCCATTGCAACAAAATAACCCAAATTATCAAAATATTAAGGTACAAATATTTTCCCTGAGGTATCGAAAATGGTCTCGAATATTTTTCCAAGGTATCATATGAGGAGCTCTTTTCCAAAACGCGATAAATCCATTTCAATAGTTTTCAGGAAAATTAATTTTTTTACCTAGACCCACACATTTTGTGAATATTCAATTTAGCCTGCTAAAATGTTTTTTTTTCCCCTCAGTCTGAACATGTTGAACAATGATTATTAAATCAAACAACAATATTGTTGATGATAAATTCAAAGTAAATTTTTTTTTTCAAAACGCTATAAATCCACAAAAGAAAAATCCAAAAATGGGTTATTTTGGCCACTTAATTAAGTTTTGTTTTGTAGAAAGCTTTTCTTTAAAGTGAATTTCGTTTTGTATAAATTGTATCTTAATTTTAATAATTCTCATCAACCAATTGCCTGGATTTCATAAATAAGAAGCAAATAGACAATATAATCATGACATGGAGGCGCCGTGACATGGATCACGTGAACTGGTGCGCATCTCATCATAAATTAACCGAAATTCATCGTATGCCTCACAGACATGAGAAATATATCTATATAGAAAGCTTGAAATGTCTTTAAACAAACAATTAAACGAAAATAGCATAGGCCTACTCTCTGATTATGTAATCCATTACATGCATTTCTCTCTAGGCGCGTTCACTACAGAGATGCTGATCGTCAATTTCATCTTTGCAGACACTGACACACAGAAAACAGTTGATTAATAAAAATAAAATAAAGATTTCGATTTTCGAACGATTTTCGACTTTTGCTCCTTGATTGTCGAATGCCATTTTTGGCAGAAATTATAAACAGAAACCTTTGGCAGCAGCATCTACCCCAGGTGTAGGTCTCACTGGCTCATCAAGGCCATCAAAAGTGTTATCACCGTTTAAAGCACTCATTTTGAGGAATGAATGAACAAACAAACCTCTGTTCAGCGCGCCGATGTTGGATTGCGTAGAACGCTCACTGAATTCTGATTTGTCGAGAGAGGATTTATCGCGTTAAGGCTAAAAATAGGTTTGGCACTTATCGCGGTTTGGAAAAGAACTGCATCTTGCAGTACGTTTTAAACAAGGAAATATAGCGATTTGGCATGAAACATTGATGGAGCAGTGAATAGGTTCAGAACACAGCAAAATGACATGACAAACTATTTTTTTTTTTAAATGGCGTTTTGGAAAAGAGCTCCTCATATCAAAGATAGAAATTGCAGTATTGTGACACTAAAATCCATGTTAAATAATTAAGTGGCCGTTTACACAACACCGTTTAACTAAAAACGGTTTTAGGGTTTCAAAAATAATTCTATTTTCTGGAGTCTTTCCTTGTGGTTTTAACACTTCATTCCAGGAATAAAAGATAGTTATTGCAAACTAGCAAGAGAGGTAACAGAAGTTACCTACAAATACTAACCTTGTCATATTGGCAGACCACCACGTTCTCTGTGTCGAACAGCTCCTGGTCTTCCTCATCGCTGACATCATCCCCACTGTTTAACGGCTCCTGAATTAAAAGACAGAACGGTAAAAAAAAAAAAAACAAGACTGGTCTAGGATCAGAACTAAAAGCACCCTGTCCAGCACGTACCTCCTCCACTTGGCCATCCTCGCCTCCATCTTTCTCCTTGTCTTCATCCTCATCCTCATCATACTCGTCCTCCTCCTCTTCGTCCTCTTCCGAGGACGTGTCTCCTGCTCCGTCCACCTGGAGCATCATGGGCGGCTGCTGCTGCGAGGCCTGTTGCTGCTGTGTCTGTTGTTGGGGCGGCTGTGCTTGAGGCTGAGCCTGAGCCTGTATCTGCGCAGCTCCCTGTGCCTGCTGAACCGCCATCGCCTGCATGACCTAAACACACGCAAGACTTCTCAACACACACTCCCTCACACGTTCATCAGTGTCATCCCGGAGGCATGAGGTTGTGCTGACCTGAGGGTTCTGCTGTACTTTATTTCCTGTGAGGACAATCTGCTGTGGTTGGATGATGACTCCGGTCTGCTGAGAAAGGCCTCCCTGAAGAGGAGTCAACACCTGCATAGATAGATAGAGAGACACATTAGGTGTGTTTGAGCTGAACTATACTAGGCTTCCACCGACGGGCGAGATCCACCGGTTGCAGAAACGTGAAGTCGGGGACACTTTCTGCTTCCCGTAGTGACTCTCACAAGGTGTATGCGTATCATATATGAAGTGGATTAAATGCAACATGTCGTCAAATACACAGATGTTTTCAAGAAGGAACAGAAACACTGTTCATTCAATACTTTATGTACTGGTTAACACCATGGTTAAATGTCCTGAGTAGGGTTGGGAACCGAGAACCGGTTCTTATGCAGGACCGGTAGTGTTTTTTCAAAAATACCGGAACCGTGCGAAATTCCTGAGTTTCGGTTCCGAAAACGGTTCTGATGCGATGTGTGGACGAAGTGCTGGGAGCTTATCCTTTAATAGCGACGTCTCACCACATGAATATTAAATGGTAATGAATGCACTGTCCCTCGCGCTATTCGTATAACAAGTTACATTTTTTTTGCGTCAGATATCAACGCAGAGAGAGAGAATAAAGACAGTAGAGCTGTGCCATTAATCTTTAAACGATCTCGATTCAAACACCCACGCGATCTTATTCCTAAATGACAAAAACTTCACACCGGGACATTCAAATCTGTTTGCGCTGTCGCTGACCCAGAGAGAGCAGTTCTACATGAAACAGCTAGCTTTACTTTCAGTCTTTTCAACAACACAGTATCAATATTTCTGTGTTAAAAATATTCAAATGATCACAGAAGTACTGAGATAAAAGTTTATAGTTCGAGAATAAACACTGATGTCTACTGTAGCAACCAAAACAGTTAATCACCTTTTGAAAGTCGCTTCAAATAACAAATTCGCTTCAGAATTTACAAAATGTATATAATGAGCGATTACATCATGAATGCCTTTTTTCAAAACGTGTTTTTGTCTTATCCTGAATCACTACGGTAAGGCTGTAATAAGCGTTTAGACTCGGACTACTTTACACTGGTCGGTTCGGCACTGCTGCGGAGTAGCCCAGTGCCTGCGTGACTCACCCGCGTCATAGACATAAACATAGAGAAGTAGCTCCGGCTACAATGTTCTTCCGCAAGACGCATGCATTTCTGTTTATTAACTGCTAGAGCACTTTAATCCAGTAAGGAAACAAGTTAAGTTTTTATTAGGGATGGCCCGATACCGATACTGGCATCGGGGATCGGGCCGATACTGTCCTAATATACTCGTACTCATAAAAATTCGCCGATACCACGCACCGATACCACGTACATTTTGCAAAACGAAACTGGCCGCCGCGAGTGCTTTGTCGAGGTGAACTGAGGCATAGGAAAGTATAATGTCGGCGGTTTGGGCTCATTTCAAGATAAGGGACGATGACAACAGCAAGGCAGACTGTGAGTTATGTTCAGCTAAGGTGTCGAGAGGAGGGAAAGAAAGTACATCGTTTAACACCAGCAATCTAATTAAACATCTGAAGACGCATCATAGATCTGATGGCCGAGCGCGCGCGCGGGCGGTAATGCACTCACTCTGTGTGTGCGGGTTACGGGAGAATAAAACGATTCGCGGGACTCCCGCAAACTAGAAATATCTATGAATAAAACATAAAAACTAAAAGATTTTTATTAATCTCTTGCAGAAAAGCAACAAGAACAACAACAAAATAGAAACGATTTACAGGACAGTTTCTATTCATAACATGGTTACAGCGTTGAGCGATGTAGCCAATCACAGACATATGTGTTGATTTCTGGAACGCAATGGCCAATCAGAAGCATTTAAGATAGACTCCCCTCACCGCTCAAAACGGACTTTTTTGTTCAGTGCTGAATTCTGTATGCTGGCAAATCCTCTAATTATAACAAACAAAGTGTGGATATTATGAAAGATTGATTGTGCAGTCAGCTTCATTGATAATAACAGAGATGTGTGAGATCGCGATGAACTGTCAGCTTTTAGGCACTTTGCGCGCATTCAGTCATGCCAGACCATGCACGCAGTAGCCTGCTTGCTTTTATGTTAAATTAACAGTGGTTTGTGTGTTAATACATTTATTATTTTACTAATTTTTATTTATTTTTAGACTTGTTAAAACGAGCAGAGAAGAAAATAAAAACAGTCTTCTAACCTGTGTTCTAAAATAGTCGTCTTCTTTTCTGGGAGCCTATTACTTTTGCGAATATCGGTATCGGTACTCGGTATCGGCAAGTACACAAATGTAAATACTCGTATCGGTTTGAAAAAAAAAATGGTATCGGGCCATCCCTAGTTTTTATGAATCAATCATTCAAACCGATTTTAAAATATTATGTTTCACCTGTCTGGATCTTACATGTGTGTTCAAGCATATTCTACCCCTTCTGAGAGGGTATTCCACTGCTGGAGATACAATAAGATATAGGAGAGGTCCCAAATTATCCTTGAGAATGCAACATTTTTTATTTTCCTTCAGAAAAAATTATTGCTAAATAATATGTTGCATTTGTTGACATTGCCAGTCTGTTAAACTCATTTGACAAGTATCAGAAATAAAACACAAAAAGGATTGTGTATTTTCCCCGTACTACTATTTGTATTAGTTGTTTTAATTTTTATTGAATGGGAACCGGAACCGGAATCGTTTGGCGGAACCGGAACCGAAAAATTTCTTACGATTCCCAACCCTAGTCCTGAGCCATGTGTACTAGTTCAACATAAGCCTATATACTATTTTAATGCAAATAAAGTGGGTCTATTTTGTATCAGTTTGATCTATTTTGATAAACATGACAATATAACATGAAGGTTACATGAGTTTTTACCATTATAAACACAAGTTTGTGAGGATCAGCTGAGCAGAATAAGTCAGAATGACCTCGAAACACACGTGATCGTTGTGAATCCGGCCAATCGTGTAACTGCTGTTTATTTAGGCTACTTGTTTTTATGTACATATAATATATTATATTTTTAAGTAAATAAAGTATTACACATAACTTTACCACACAAGTAAAAAAAGCAACAAAAAACAAATCAGAATAACATTTAAAAACATACTTATTTTGTAAGTAAAACAGTAAAGATTTAATAAAAAAGAAAAACATTTACTTGTTTTGAGTTAAATAGTTTTTTACTGTACATTTAAGATCAATTTGTAAAACTTAATATTACCAACTTTTTCCGATGGTAAAGCTTTGGCAACCACAGCTGCGGTTTTTCTATAAATTATGGATTTTTACAACGTATAACAGTTCATAAACCAGACACTGCAACCGCTAAACCTGCTCTGCTTCCAGATCTCTTCCTGTGAGCGGTCCTCTATCACTTCTGATATTTATCATTTAAACAAACAAGAGAGCTGACAGGCCTCTTGCATTGGCTAGCTATGATAAGGACCTCTGCTGACACGGTGAAACAAGTCACACACATACATGTGCAGACGGCGCCACAACACACCCTGCAGGATCCAGTGACCGGACTAGAACAAATGAGTCAGTGTTGGGAAGGGTATGAAGCACAGACCTGCTGTATGACGGGGGCCTGTACACCTCCAGGCTGCATCTGGGGCAGGACCTGCTGCTGCAACACCATCTGCTGCTGAGGCTGGATGATGTATTGAGCTCCATTGGCAGCCCGGACCACCTGCAGGATCTGACCTGCACAGCCAACAGAGAGACGCTTTTTAGGGCTTTCAAACTTGATGTGTTAACATGCACTTAATGTCAGCATGAAATGGGCATCGTGAAAAGAAAAAAAATTCTATTGGAATTGATTGGTTCATACAATGTGGGCGTTGCAAACTATATGGACTTTTATTTAATCTAAGAGACAGGTTGATTGAAACTCTTACTTGTCAACTTTTTTTGCCCAGCCCTCACACTGGTTTAATCAGAGAAGAGATTGAGGACACTTTTCCTTTATTTTATAAAATAATGATGTGCGTGGATACATTTATAAATGAACACTGCAACATTCCATAAAATAAAAACTGAATTCAGAAGTAAATTTAGATTTCAGTGACTTCAATGGCACTGCATAAAGTGACAGGCATTTTTAAAATCTGTTAATGTTAGCTAGTAAAACAATTGTTTGTTCAATTAATTTTAAGATTAATAAATGCTATAGAAGTATTGTTAATGTTGACTAATGTCAGATGAAACTTATTGTAAAGAATAACCAAAAAAGTATGATTTTTTTTTAATACTCGTTACATAATAAAAAAATAAGTCAAGTAAGGATCAAAGGCTACGTTCACACTGTCAGTCAAAATCCGATTATTTTGTGTACCTGATTGGAAACCGATCTAAAATGATTGACATCCACATCGTGTATCGTAAGTGTTCAGATCCGGTTTGTGTGTCCGTGCCGCACTTTAATTTTCTGAAATATCCACATTGGTTTCTGTGTCGCGTTGGTAGTTGCGCAACATGGAGGGTTTTCCAATACAGATGTTGTCTTATTTACAACATGCCTGGACTACTGCGTCTTCAGAGGCAGCGGCAGAAACATAGGATGCTGGTGGACCGTGCTGTCGACTCCGCTGGTCTCAAAACATGTCTCCGTTATACAGTCATTTTCTGCTTGTCAGGCACTTTGCAACAACACAACCTTGTTTCTGCAGCAACTTTCAGAATGTTTCCTATAACAACGTCTGACGTTTACTTTGTGTTGCGTGAGAAAGTCACAAACCATCCGAAATTTGATCAGAGCAGTCAGACTGAAACGGATTTACAGAAATGCGATTTGAATAGGATTTCAAACCACATATGAATGTAGATCGAAACAGATTAATAAACAAAAAAAATTACTTCTTAATTTTTGCTGTTCACACTAGCTAAATCTGATCGGATTTCAATCAGAAATGCACAAAAATCTGATTTGGACTGACAGTCTGAACGTAGCCAAATAGCACACACAAACGAAACAGGCATGAGTAGAGAATTGGAGCACTGCATGTCACATGTAAAAATCTACCATCAATAAAACAACTTCCAAATATATAGAACTTATATATACACTCACCGGCCACTTTATTAGGTACACCTGTCCAACTGCTCGTTAACACTTAATTTCTAAGCAGCCAATCACATGGCGGCAACTCAGTGCATTTAGGCATGTAGACATGGTCAAGACAATCTCCTGCAGTTCAAACCGAGCATCAGTATGGGGAAGAAAGTTGATTTGAGTGACTTTGAACGTGGCATGATTGTTGGTGCCAGAAGGGCTGGTCTGAGTATTTCAGAAACTGCTAATCTACTGGGATTTTCACGCACAACCATCTCTAGGGTTTACAGAGAATGGTCCGAAAAAGAAAAAACATCCAGTGAGCGGCAGTTCTGTGGGCGGAAATGCCTTGTTGATGCCAGAGGTCAGAGGAGAATGGCCAGACTGGTTCGAGCTGATAGAAGGGCAACAGTGACTGAAATAACCACTCGTTACAACCGAGGTATGCAGCAAAGCATTTGTGAAGCCACAACACGCACAACCTTGAGGCGGATGGGCTACAACAGCAGAAGACTCCACCGGGTACCACTCATCTCCACTACAAATAGGAAAAAGAGGCTACAATTTGCAAGAGCTCACCAAAATTGAACAGTTGAAGACTGGAAAAATGTTGCCTGGTCTGATGAGTCTCGATTTCTGTATAGACATTCAGATGTTAGAGTCAGAATTTGGCGTAAACAGAATGAGAACATGGAACCATCATGCCTTGTTACCACTGTGCAGGCTGGTGGTGGTGGTGTAATGGTGTGGGGGATGTTTTCCTGGCACACTTTAGGCCCCTTAGTGCCAATTGGGCATCGTTTAAATGCCACGGCCTACCTGAGCATTGTTTCTGACCATGTCCATCCCTTTATGGCCACCATGTACCCATCCTCTGATGGCTACTTCCACCATGTCACAAAGCTCTAATCATTTCAAATTGGTTTCTTGAACATGACAATGAGTTCACTGTACTAAAATGGCCTCCACAGTCACCAGATCTCAACCCAATAGAGCATCTTTGGGATGTGGTGGAACGGGAGATTCGCATCATGGATGTGCAGCCGACAAATCTGCGGCAACTGTGTGATGCCATCATGTCAATATGGACCAAACTCCCTGAGGAATGCTTCCAGCACCTTGTTGAATCTATGCCACGAAGAATTGAGGCAGTTCTGAAGGCAAAAGGGGGTCCAACCCGTTACTAGCATGGGGTACCTAATAGAGTGGCCGGTGAGTGTATATATATATATTTTACACACACATATGTGTTAATAAACTAATTATGCAGACACAGTTGTTCAAAAACAACTGTTTACATAATTGTGTAACCTTTTTAAATCAATTGACAGCTCCAACGAAAAACCAACATGTCTCCATACGGCTAGTACTCAACCTTCCAGAGGCCTCTTTTTTCTTTTTCTTTTTTTTTTCAGAAATTAGGAGCGTCCATGGATTAAAATAACTGAAATACATTGTAGCATGTTTTGGTGTGAATATAGTTTGTTTGACCTTATTTTATGGCATTTTAAGTCACCTTGAGGCTTCTTGGAAGTTTGCTGAGGCCCCCTGGTTGAGAACCATTGCCTTACGGGATACGTGTCAGAGTGTAATGTCTTACCCTGAGGTGTGATGAGTTGCTGAAATGGTGTTACACCTGTGGGTAAAGCCAAAGTTGCTGCTGTGGCTGCTGCACTCTAGTGGAACAGAAGATTGAAACAGGAATTGAATCCACAGAGGAGACACACATACATTAATTATCAGGTAGAGCAGGAGTGAGAGAGAGAGAGAGAACAATATCCTTCACTGGAATTTGCCATGTAATCTAATTTAAAGTCCCCAGCGCCGTCTAAACCATTTTCCAGGAAAACTCCTCCCTCATTCCATCTGTTCTCCTGCTGGCATTGACGCTGATCTTAAACGGGTGTTCATATATACAGGCAACTACAGTGACCAAACCGCTGAAGTCATTCATTTTTAATGGGACTGGCAGATTTCTGGGTTCGAGTAACGGTAACTGTCTGGCCAGCGGCCTCCCACTGTTTCAGTGGCCTTAATTCTGCAAAAAAAATTTCCCATAGGGATTTTAAAGAAGCTTATAAAGAGTTATATGGCATGAACCAAACCAACAAGCTACATGGTGAATCACAAAATTACAGACTTGGATTGGAAGTTGTTAAAGTATCAGACAAAGACTGTAATTAACGACTTTAAAATGAGTCATAAGCTGCATTTTTGAACAATTTTATAATCTTCTCTGAGGTCCATTTAAGTTATCATGAGTTTTACATAAAAAAAAAAACCATCCCAATTTAGAAGAAATAAGCTATTTTCTATCCTGTTTTTGACTCCTTCAAACACTCAGTTTTGATGGGTGTGCCGCATTAAAGACTTGGAAGTAAACACCTAATTCTATGATTGGGTAACAGTTTTGCATAATAAAAGAATTGTCAATGTCCCATCCATTTGACGAGTGTTATTCTTTTGAAAACTTCCGATGTTGAAAAATATTGTTACGTAGTTTTGACATGTGTATTACATATGCTTTATTTGCCACTACCAACATTTATAAAGCATAAGTACTTGGAGTTACCACAGTGATAACTTGGCGTTTCATGTATACAGAGTTTAAGAATGAATATACCATTGTTTGTTGCGTCATTCTTATAGGCTATTCATCGTTCATTTTTTGAACAAGTGAAAAACGTATTCATTGTCATTTGCAGTGTCGTTTTACATCAAGCGTAACATGTAATGCCTTACTGATAACAAAACAGATGATGTCGCTCACTGAAGCTTTTACTCAGGATTATAGCGAATGGCTTAGATCCGCACGAATTTGCAGTCAAATGAAGCAAACAAAGTCTTACTGATGCGATCTGACTGGAACTTTGTTCAAAATAAAGTTCATCCACACTTTCGTAATGTTAGGATCACAAGGAAAATCAATGCAAATTCTGGGGTTTTCCACAATTTGGCACTTCAAAACATCTTGTAATCTCAATCGCTTTGTTGCTGGAGTCTGTCTTGTATTTACTACTACATGACATGTGACAGGGCTTAGATTAAGCAAGGATTTGACCTTATTTCAATCAGGACATTTAAGTAGCTTTTATAAACGTGCCTTTAAAAAAATACTGATGTGCATCTTGAGACAAAACAATGGCACTGACATTTTAAGATGAGTCACTGCAAGTTGCTTCCAGTTTAAAGAGCTCAAACATGCATTTTAGTCTGGGATTATCTTAAGCCTTGTCTGTGACAGGGGTCACTGCTTTATGGGAGTGGCAGGCTCTGATTGGCGGACATTTCTTAGCAGAATCATGGGTAATTTTGGTTTACCCATTGCTAAACGCTGATTTCCCCCCCCCAAAAAATAAGTTAAAATAATGCATGCTTAAGCATATACAATGGATTAACCTCACAGTCTTCAGTGGTTTGCAAGTTACCGTATTTTCCGCACTATAAGGCGCACCGGATTATAAGGCGCACCTTCAATGAATGACCTATTTTAGAACATTTTTCATATATAGGGCGCACCGGATTATAAGGTGCATGAGATACTGCAGTCAAACGTTTGACTGGGTTTGCGTTATGCATCCACTAGATGTGCTAAAGGGAATGTCAACAAAACAGTCAGATAAAGTCAAACTTTATTAAGCGTTCTGACAACTCCGTTCACTCCCATGGTAACGTTGTTCAAACGTTAAAGGAGAACTCCGGTCAATTTTAACACTGAGCTCATTTTTTTGTAAATTTGGAGTGCTGTCAGTACAGATAACAATGACAAAAACCGGTGTTGCCTACACCATGTTAGCCTCTTTTTAAAATTCGCACCCTGTTGACTTAAACGGGACAAGTTTTAAACCTGCTTTTAGCCTCTTAACAACCTTAATGTGTCATTACAAGTGCACAGCCATGTGAGTGAACACGGTGAATCTGACTGCAGTAAATGTGAAAGATATGAATAAAAATAATGTTTATTCAGCCAGCTCACATACCCGTATTTTCTTCCTGTTTTCGGTCTAAGTCCACAGTAGGCGATTGTCGAGTGCGCGCGCGATCATTGGTAACTAAGCAACAGTGGAGACTCAGACTGTCAGCCGATGACGGTGCTGTGTGGTGTTCTGGGAATATCAGCTCAAATGGATAGTTCATCCGAATCAGATGTTGAACACACGGAGGAGGTTTGATCGCACGCAAACTCGACAATCAACTACTGTGGACTTCGGCTGAAAACAGGAAGTAAATACAGGTATGTGAGCCGGCTGAATAAAGAGATTATTCCTGCCTTCGTGAAAACTCGGATCACAGTTGAGACTGATATATCAGCCCAGGCATCCACGATCCATTGGCAGATAGTGGCGTAAGTCGCCCGGCGCTGTCTCCCCGTCTTGGTGAACGTGTGTTCACCATCCATAAGGCACTCTGGATTATAAGGCGCACTGTCATTTTTTGAGAAAATTAAAGGCTTTTAAGTGCGCCTTATAGTGCGGAAAATACGGTATCTTTACAAATCAATTCCCTAATGAAAAAACGACCGGAAACCAACCGTTCCACTATTATTCCAAACACTAACATGAAAGTGAAGCACACTTACCATCCCTGTCGCGCTCATGTGCTGGAGAATCTTAGGATCCTGAACAATGACCTGCTGCTGAGGAGCTGAGAAATCAGACAATCAACAGCAGATTTACTGGCTGTTGTGGGGCTTTTTTGTTGTTGTTACATTTTATGTGAATGTCTGAGAACGTGGGATACCAACACATTTCATTGTTTTGCACAGCAGTCCAATGACAATAAAGCCTTTAACTCATTCCATTTCTAAAAGCGTGAGAGCAGGCCTCACCCTGCTGCGCTGGAGGCAGGAGGACTTGCTGCGGTTGGGATTGTGCCTGCGTCAGCTGAGCTTGTTGGGCCTGTTGAGCTTGCAGAGCCTGCTGCTCCTCCGTATGAAAACCATCCACCGCCTTCGACTGCATCAGCTTACTCTCCCACAACTGCGCAGGAAGAAAGATGCGGGTTTAAAATCAACCATCGATCTGGTCGGCACGTTAAGATTCATCATAATAGCAAACATCTTACCGTTTTAAGCTCCATCAGGACCTGCTCATCCACTCCCTCGTCCAGGAAAAGCTCCCGGACTTCATTGATGACATCCTCCATTACTGATCTATACAGTTTAGGCTACAATGCAAGCAAACAAGATGTAAACCCTTCTAACTACTAAATTACAAAATATCATGAATGTATGTTTTTAAGGAAGTGTTTGAACTGGTTAACAAGATCAATAGACTGTTTACAAACCGGACTGAATCAGTCCTTGATTCCACTTGCTGACTCAGTGAACTGAGAATTGTCTCTTGCCAACATGATTTGTAATGAGCTGAGAATCAATGAATGAGCTGACTTGAAGTGTGAACAGTGATTGACTGATGAGGCAAAATGTCTGTCATGCCTGCTACAGACAGTGCGATTTTGGCAATCCGATAAGATCATTACAAATCACACTGTACGACATGGATCTAATAAACTTGGGTATGACCAATGACGACACGCATTGAATCAAAGGCTACGACGTTTGTATGGAAGAATAAAATGTCATCAGCATGTGCTAGTGGTAAACAAATAGAGCATGATGAATCACACTCTGGCAATTGTGGTTGTGTGTGCTAAAAAAAAAAAAAAAAAAAAAAAAAAAAAAAAAAAAAAAAAGTGTAAGCGAAAGAGTAGAGTATATGGACACGGTCATGAATTGAGAAAAGAGGCCGACTTAGCATGCCAATTTTGCAAATGGAGCTTGAGGTAAGTAACGTAGTTTTAAGTTTTAGCGTCATGTCGTATTGATCAATACGCCATTTCATGTTGCATTTTTATTGGCTAGTCAGTAGACGTTGGTCACAGCAGCAAACAAACAGACTGTGAGATGATCATGCTATATTTCTGACAATGTCAGAATATTAATTGCAGGCTATCTTTGGTCGCAAGACCGTGACAAAGGCCGTCTCTGAACCTCTCTCAGTGTAGGACCACTGTTTAGGAGTCACGACCACAGAAATCACCATCATGACTGGTCATCTTTTGTCTGGGACAGCCCAAAAATCATACAATGTGTACCGGGCATACTAGTCTAATAGCAGAAGTGTTCGAAAAAACACACTGGTAATGTTTTCAACTTTATCAACAAACATGAGGGTTGGTTTTAAACCATTAAACCATTTTTCAGCCAAACAGTAAACTGATTTTGGCATTGTTGTAAACGTTTATAATACATGTAATTATTTAAATATTTGTTGTAAATATATTTAGGTTCTACTTAGGTAAAATAAACGTCCAAAACGATACGTAATGGAAAGTAATAAACGGTAATATGTGCCTACACACGTGACTTTCTTTGACAGTTTGGAATTAGAGGGTGTAAAAAAACCGCTTCAGGAACACAAAGAATGACGTAATTACGTTTAAAAAAGCGCTACATTGTTTCACCACCGACCCACGGACATCAGTCCGACTTCCCAATCACTATTTGGTAACTGGACCCGAGTGGAAGCACTATAAATAGACACATGTTTCAGAAAACGTGTGCATTGCTGCAGCTCGCGACGCATCCGCTTTAAATAGCGTGACCGCGGTCAACTGCACTCAACGAAACCGAGAAAAGAAACATTCGTACAAAAACACACACACGCATTTCCGGCAGAAGTCAATCCGGAATAGGCAAACAAACGTCTTTCTCTGCCCACAGAGAAACCACCATCGCCATGGCGCTGATATGCTTCAGCTAAAGACGGCAGAGGCTCGCGGTGTGTGTCGCGTCCTGTCCGTGGCGCGCGGCCCGTCCGCTCACTATTTAAAGCGCGGTCTGGTGTTTATATGCAGAGTCCGTGACGTAGAGCCGAGTAGCACCTTCCCATCCCGGCCAGAGTCTATATTAGAGCGCCGCTATGGCTGTATAAAACCAGGCGCCCAAAAGAAGGAGGGTCAGAAGCGCAGACAGCGAACAGCGACGGTAGCCATGATGACACAGCGTTTGCCCGCAGTGAGGACTCCGCGAACGGGTTTTATAGTAATAATCGGCTCATTTTTGGGCTCATATAAATGGGATTCGGTAATATGGGGGAAATGTACAACTCGTAAAAATAAAATTTGATGTGATGTAGGAAGGTTTTCGTTCGAACACGCAGGACAACAAACACAATTCTGCCCGCTCACTTGATAAATACGCCTGATTTGGTTTAATTTCAGATGCATTTGTCGGGATAAAACTAAAAAGGGTGCTTTCGCAACAAACTAATATATCGAGTTAAACGACAATTTATTTTTCGCATCAAACACAGCTTTTTACACGGCCGAGGCCAAATGTAACAAAGCCCGTGTTAGTTTAACAGAAATACGTTTTAAAACACGTAAGTTAAGTTAATAAAGTTTAATGCAGTGGATCAGAGCAGATATATTTCCTCCAGCAGATCCAGCCGTGTTACATCTCTATCAGCAAACACTCACACACTTCCCTACAAAGAGCTCACATGGATCAGATCTGATGTGTACGTGTCTAGTATGTTTATTTATTGCGAATGCTAAATGTGTGGGTTTGGTACTGCGTCTAACTACAGTTCTTGGACACGTGTGTGATGATTTGGAGTATGAGTGCCGTTTGTCTGATCCTTACCACTATGTTCGAGTTAGCCGAGCTCGCCATTATGAGCGCAGTGAGGGGGGAAACACACCGCGAGTATCAAGCAAGAACCCCAAAAATCATTTAAAAAAAGCACGGAAACATTTAAAACGTTTTAAAAAGTTGCCGGTTAAAGTTTCTGTAAATAAAAACACAGCTGTTTACGGTCTTATTCACAGTCCCAGGGCTGCTGCTCCCCAGCCGTCCGTCTTCTCCAGTCGTCTGCCTTTATATACGGAGCTGCGCGAGACACAGGGCAGGGTCAAGCGGGCACTGCGCGAAATATCGCGAGATTTCAGCGCGCTCTTACCGCAAACACGACACGGTGAGTCAGTATGGAGGCTTTACCAAAATCTGCCAATGCAGCCAGTCACATTGTGTCTGTCAACATAAAAAAGATATGCAAACTACTGTTACGATTGTGGATTACTACGCGTTTATTATTATTATTATTATTAGGCTATTGTTGAGACCAAATTTCCTAGCCTCTTTATAAATTAGCTTCTATCATCCTAATGTTAATGCCTAATGTTATAAAAATGCTTTTATAAATTATTCAAACTTCCAGACAATGCTTTGTCAAAACAAAATCAAGTTTACTTTACTTTATTGGAAATTATAAGCATAATGGACTTACCATTTTCACCACACGAGGGCAATGTGTACCACTCCATAAGCAACAACTGGTTAATATCTAAGATTAATTTTAAATATTAAAACATTGTAATGTTATCTATCTATCTATCTATCTATCTATCTATCTATCTATCTATCTATCTATCTATCTATCTATCTATCTATCTATCTATCTATCTATCTATCTATCTATCTATCTATCTATCTATCTATCTATCTATCTGTCTATCTGTCTATCTGTATGCATGTCTGTCTGTCTGTATCTATCTATCTATCTATCTATCTATCTATCTATCTATCTATCTATCTATCTATCTATCTATCTATCTATCTATCTATCTATCTGTATCTATCCATCCATCCATCCATTCATCCATCTATCTATCTATCTCTGTCTGTCTATCTATATCTGTCTGTCTGTTTATCTATCTGTCTATCCAGCTATCTATCTATCTATCTATCTATCTATCTATCTATCTATCTATCTATCTATCTATCTATCTATCTATCTTTCTATCTATCTCTCTGTCTGTCTGTCTCTATCTATCTATCTGTATGTCTTTCTGCCTGTCTCTATCTATCTATCTGTCTATCTGTCTACCTATATCTATCTATTTATCTATCTATCTATCTATCTATCTATCTATCTATCTATCTATCTATCTATCTATCTATCTGTATGTATGTCTGTCTGTCTGTATCTATCTATCTATCTGTTTATCTATCTATCTATCTCTGTCTGTCTTTATCTATCTATCTATCTATCTATCTATCTATCTATCTATCTATCTATCTATCTATCTATCTATCTATCTATCTATCTATCTATCTATCTATCTTTCTATCTATCTCTCTGTCTGTCTCTATCTATCTATCTATCTGTATGTCTTTCTGCTGTCTCTATCTATCTGTCTATCTGTCTATCTATCTATCTATCTATCTATCTATCTATCTATCTATCTATCTCTCTGTCTGTCTCTATCTATCTATCTATCTATCTATTTGTCTGTCTGTCTATCTATCTATTTGTCTATCTATCTATCTATCTATCTATCTATCTATCTATCTATCTATCTATCTATCTATCTATCTATCTATCTATCTATCTATCTATCTATCTATCTATCTATCTCAAAAGCTTAAAATAATTAGGAATAGCAAAACTAACAGTGTCAATGTTTTTGGAGATGAATATTTCAAGAAGTTTAAATAAAGGAATTGAGGACTTTGAGAATGCCTGACTATAAGTTGTGTAGGTCGTTCCAGAGAGAGGATTGTCTACATTCAGATCTTTTTTCAGTTTTGAGGTGTCTTTGAACAGACGAGTAAAGGCAGCCTGCTCAAAAGTATACAGCTAAGTGTAAAGATGTTATGCTGCATAAAAGTCAGATTCAATTATGCCAGTCGACCCACCTCAGCCCTTAATTTCAAATGCAGTTTTTTTTTTCATTTTCATTTTTACTTAGCTGTATTTTTATATTGTGTACAGCGCTTTGCGAAGCTGCTTTTAGATAAGGTGTTTATGCCACCTCTGAGCAGCATTAAACTGTGTGTAAAATGGGATATATGGAGTATCTTAAAGTGTATTTATACGTTTTGGGTGTCATCTGTTTAAATTAATTTCATCCACTTTGTCATTTTGCTTAATCCCAAAATTAAACACTCACTATTTGCACAATTTATTTTGTGCAAAGGAATTTATGTCCCATTTTTCTTTAAGCAAGGGATGAAATATACCTGTTTACACAAAGACTCAACACAAAGACTAATAAAATGTATCAAGCACAGATTGACTACTTATGTCTCCTGGAGTTGCATAGCAACAGAAATGGCTCCAGTGAGCACAGGGAGCTGGTGGCTGCTGATTAAGCCTCTATTGCCTTTAATTATGAATAAAGCTCCAGTTGCATAAGCCATCATTGGGTCCCATTAGCCACACCCAAGCTCATGTAATCAAGTCACCTTAAACATGGGATGAACATTCAAGACTGCAGGTAATCCAAAAATCACTCACACACGCAAAGTGGCATTTGTGCTTTACGGGGACTCTCCATAGACATAATGATTTTTATACTGTACAAACTGTATCCCCTTACACTGACCCTAGCCCTAAACCTTCACCCAATAAAAAAAAACCCTGTTTAGTATGTTTTTAAGCCATTTGGCCATGCATAACCCATGTTTATGTTGCAGTACCTGTCATTATACACATTTCTGTCCTCATAAACCATATATACAAGAACACACACACACACACGTTGTTTCTCAATGTTTTATGGGGACTCTCAGACATAATGATTTTTATACTGTAGAAATTCTATCCCATAACCTTAAAAATGACTGGTATTACTATCTTTGTGGGGACAAAGTGAGGACAAAAATCCAATGGTTTCTTTACCGAGGTGGTGATACATAAAATAATCTATCATATAATACACTCCTTAAATTATTCTATATAACTTTGAAGGGAATGTAGAACTCAAATTCTGATAACGGTTAGACAATTCCTCTAAAACCAAATAAATAAAAACAACTGTTCATTTAAAACTCTGATATTTTTATTATTGCAACTGGAAGACAATACATTACATAAACATTATTTTAAGTTTCAGGAGAAATATGTGGAAAAGTAACAACATGATGTGACATTTATTGTCATATAGACAATGTGATTATTTACACGTATTGATGAAATAGTTTGATATTGTTCTTTGGCAATATGATTGCACACCAAGGAAATAGACAGCTTTATACTCGTACAGCATTGGCATCTGAGTGTATTGAAAATAGACCTGGTTGAATACATATTCATCATGATTCCATTGTGCTCTAAAATCATAATCAGACCACTGGTGACTTATGTAAGTACAAGGGCAAAAACATATTTGGCAAAAACAAACAACATCAACAACATTGACAAAAACCCTTATATTATTTCACATATAATTTCAGAGGCAGTGAGAGTTTTCCAATAAATAATTCATGCATATTTGTTTCCCCCGGCCTTTTGTCTTACATGGATTTGTATGAATCTTAGCTATTAAATCAGTTAAAAACCAATCGTGTTATTTATTGGTACACACGCACACACAAAAATGGCATATTATTATGGGACTGGCATAAATTTAAAGCAAAACCGTAGCAGCAGCTTATTGCCTATATATGCAAATCAAATAAAGTAGGGCCATCTCGCCGTACGTTTCTTATTTTACACTGTACTCACCCTTACAGTGCCGCTCCATCACTAGACCCCCTGCCGAAGACAAATAGTCCTATTTTACTATTTTAAAAAGTGCTGATATATCGTGCTGGAGTATTTCAAAGGACTGAAAGCGGTATCCGAGCTCCGCTCCCGCGAGGGACGCATAACATTCAGAAAGCGTTTCAAACATAAAGCGGAAGTGGAGTGTAAACATCGCGAAAGATGCGGTGGTGCGTTCAAGGCCTGACTGGAAAGTTCGTATTTACGAGTGTGTACGTCGAGTTTACAACGTCAGATTCAAGTCACTTTCGTCGGAGCAAGATGGCGGTGACCTTTTAATGAACTACTTGAAAATAGGCCTACAGCAAGGTGTTTAAACTCTACGTCTAAAATGAAGAACAAAGATTGTGCATCAGTTGTGTTTTAATTGATTTATTGTCTACTGTGCACTTTGTTACATAATTTAATTATATTAAAATGCTATCATATTTTGTGCAGGCGGTTAGCTTATCTTGTTGTAAATAAATAAGCCTGACAATGTCACTGCTAAATACCTGAGTATTGTGGTATTCCGCCACGTTTTTCATTCATGCTGCATTCACATGCTATCGGAAATTTCCTACTTCCCACTTCTGAAGTCGTGATTACGACCTCGTCGATTTCAAGTGCTTTGTTGTCTGAAAGAACAGGATTCAAGGAGGACACCAGGTTAATCCTTCCCAATAATTGGGATTTTTATGTAGCATCCCAATCATTGACAACCATATAGCCTAAACACTTACCATGCATGCTATCAATAGTCAGTTTGCTGACGATTCTGGAATTTGGTTCAAATACAGGCTATTTACACTGTGTATAATACATTTGAATAATCATTTGAAGCATATTGTAGCCTATGTAAATATGCACTACTTTAATGACAAGGCGATGTTGTTGAGGAAAAAAAACTAATAATGAATAGCACAACAGCATCGTTCTCCCCTCCGCCATGTTTAAAGTTTATGGCCCGCCTAACTCGGGAACTTGGGTATCAAAATGATCTCCAAATTTCCCAGTGGTAAATACGACTTGAGAGGGCGATCATGTCCAATTTTTAACTAGGAGAGACGCATTTGTGATCATTCCGATAGCATGTGAAGGCAGCATTAAAGAAAATCCAGAGCTTCCCATTCGTATTTACGACATTCTGGAGTTCAATCATGTGTTCAACTCATAATTACGATCTTTCTGACATTGAACGCACCATATATGACGCTGACAGATGACGAGCCAGGCTCATCCACCACCACAGGACATTCAGTTTCACAGATGGAGTTCAAGTTCATGAGGGATGGGTAATTTAAAACAAAATATTAAGGAAACAGACAAGCAAGCCATGGTCGATCGCAAAGTATCGCGCTAATAAGGGACTGTCCTAAAGCCACTTCTAATTCCTTGTCAAACTATTTCAGTACAATTTATGATATCAACGCTGCAGGTTGCACAATGCAAATGACTTTAACGGAGTATCGAACCATTACAAAAGAACAGAACAGACATCCAAGCACAACCTTAAAGGGTGTACAGAGTGATAGGTCATCCAACACTGATTATTAACAACATTTGAACACTTACATCAATGAATTGAAAAAGGACCACCAAACTGAGGACCACGAAAAAGGCAAAATCAGTTTCACCTGATATTCAATACAAGGCAGATCTGTTCATTAATGGGTTTTCACGAAGTCCCTTCCTTTGGAAGAGTTGTCTGCCGCAGAAGAGATACGATTAAAAAAAAAATGAGTAAAGAAAGAAACCTACGCTTTTAGAGACGCCTCTCTGTTTTCTCGTAAGAAAATAAGCCATGCCTCATGCTAAATATCTATCTTACATGATCTTTCGTTTAGAAAAGAAAATACTTCTTCTTATGTACAAGCACCCATGCAATATAACTGAAAAACAGGCAAAAACTGCCTTTTGTGGAAAAAAGGGAGTTTTTTTTTTACAGTGTTATCCTGATAGGACAAATTGCTTGGATTGTGATGGAAAAAAAAAGAAATTTAAAAAATACCAACATTTTGGCAAAATAACTGACACATTGCTTCATAAAAAGATTAGTTTTAGTGTGCTTCAAATAAGAACTAACACCAGAAATGTTTTGAAAACCAGACATCTAAGAGAGAATTGGCATATTGCATTTGACCTTTACGTTTGATATCCATTGGACACAGGCCATTATACACAAAACATTTGTTGCTTAATAAATAAATGGGTCAATGACATAAAAGAGTCCCTAAAGAACTGTAAAAAAATCTAGTTTAAAACATGCTAAGGAGAAATGTACTTTTACCATTTTCAAGAAAAGTAAATTTAATGACATTAAAATGTCATATGGTGTAACCATCAATTTAACATTAATAAAAAAGAATAATATATTTCCTTACACCTTGGGTACATGTACATGAAAATGCACGTTATCCATTAAGAAATGAAATACATTTTTCAAGATAAAGACCATTCCTAATTATTATTTTTTTAACTGACCTTGACTCAAAGTCACAAGTCTGCAGGTCTTCTCTCTTTATGATAGATTTTTTTTATTGCACCACATGACTTAGATTTTTCAGACAAAACTTTTTCAAATATTACTGAGCAGTTTTGTCAAAATATTTTATATTATACTACTATTAATTTAAATAAATATATATTTTTCAAAATTTTTGATATTTCTAAGAAACAATAATACAAAATAAAAGATAATGCCATACTAATTTCCAGTGTTGGGAGTAAAGCATTACAAGTAACGCGAGTTACGTAATCAGACTACTTTTAAAATGATCTGAGTTACTTTTTCAAATACGGTAAGCAATGCAAGTTACTTTGCATCTCCTTCAGCCTGAGGCTTATTCATTTCCCTTTTGGTGTGAAATTGCCTTAACATTTGCCAAAAATAGAACCTTTGGTTTTATTTTGATATTAAAAAACAAACAAGGAAGCCCAGGTGAGAAAAAGTAGCCCAAAAGTAATGTAATGCATTACTTTTCATTAAAAGTAACTAACTAACGCAATTAGTTACTTTTTACTAATATTGTAACGCATTACTTGACACGTTTGACTTGCCCCAAAAACGTTCAAAATTAACTCAGAAAAAAGACATGCAACAAGAGGTGTTTTCTAGTCGTGAATCGCTTTTTTAATTAAACAATAGATGTGGACCAAGAAAAATAACTATCATGTCATTGACCCAAATATTTATCTGATGGTTTTTGTCATAGGTCGGTATCACTACTTTTTGAAACTAATACTGGTCTTACTAAGTGTGCATGGATTAGCTGCACTTTCATCAACAGGTATCATCTTTGGCACACTTGAGAGCAGCATAGAAAATCTCTCCGTTCAGCTTTCTGATGTGAACTAGAAGGATTGCTACAACATAATTAATTCTTTTAAATTGTTCTGTAGGCTTGATGAATTCAAAAACAAACATTTTTTCACTCAAATGACCCAAATTTTACTATGGCTTTTTTCCCTCTTCGCACACACGCGCACGCACACGCTCGCACACACACACACACACACACACACACACAAAACAACATGAACATGAGAATCTTTCACCCGGGAAATCAAATTTAACAAGGGACAACAGTGATTTTTTTGATATTGCAACAACTGACTAGAATTCACCTGATATCCTGGAACAGAAGTATTTAGATCTGTGTTAACGGGATTTTCGTTCATTGCTAATCGCTGGCTTCCTCTTTCAGCTCCTTCTGAACTTTACACGCACGCTGAGCGTTTTTATTCAAACCGGTGCGCACTCCAGCCAGGTGAAGCAACGACCCCGCCGCCTCCTTCATCTCCTCATCTTCCTCCTCTTTTACCAGGAGATTCCCTGCCCTCCTCTTCTTCAGGGGAAGTGTGTCACCAGGGGTCCGTAGGTGGCCTTTGGTCCACAGCAGTCTTCTGCGCTGGAGCAGCTGGGAAGGAGGTGGCGAAGCGTCCAGCGGGAAGTCTTTTTGCTCCTCCTTGACCTCAGTGACCGTCACCTCCTGACCGTGGCTGTGGGCAGAGAGGGAACCCTGAGTGGAGCAGGAGGAGAGGGGGGAAGAAATGTCCCCCTTTGTGCTCGGGGACTGGGAGCTGCTGTACGTGTGGTCCTCCTGTTGGTCATCGCTGGGGGGAGGAGAGTCACTGCACAGACTGTTTTTACCCCGTGTCAGATAGTCGCCCAGGGCTGATCTGTTGAGGCGGACAGAGAGAGGGAATCATTTTTAAATGTATTACACTTACGCAGACGCTATTTTCAAAATGACTTGCGTATACAAGGTATACACATGTTGTGTTATGGCTGATAACCAATAAATGGCTGAAATTAAAATTCTAAATAAATTAATAATTAAAATCAATTAGGGTGAATTTAGGTAGGTTCCATTTTGAGATTTGCTAAAGGTTACATTTAGTGTTATTAGTTGTAGTGTTTTTACAGATTCATTTGAAGTGAGCATTAGATGATGACAGATGTAATCTAAAATACAGAAAATAAACATGCAAATGATATCTTATATCTGATCTTTATGTTGGGCTGGTTTCGACTAAGGATTTTCATAGTCGAATCTGATTCGTTAGATTTAGCCGTAGTCGACTGATAGTCGAACCTTTTTTTTTGTTTGTTTTTTTGATAGCAGCTAGATTTTTTCCATTTCAAACAAAAGAGCTAAAAAAAACGTGCTTTGTTTGAAATAAATCACACAATAAACAAAACCTTAACAAAAAAAACTTTGCAATGAACTGCAATTTAGACGCGCAAACTGCGTGCCGGTGCGGTGAGACCTACATGCTCGGGCAAATCGTTCATCCTCGGATGCGGAGTCGCGCGCGCTGTTACAAAAAAAGCTGTGCACACAGCCAAGCGAAATGGGGTCTTGCCGGTCTTGCGCACCCAACGCGTCATTTTTTGCCGTGCGCACCTTCGCGCTCGTGCGGACGCGTCGAGTATAAACAAGGCCTTTTATACTTCTGCGTTGGACCTACGCCGGAGCCTCTACGCTATAGACAACGCATTGGTTTTCATTTATACTTCTGCGTCGTTGTCCGCCTTGACGCGCAATTATGCATGCAGAGGGAGCATGTGAAACCCGAGGGAGCGGTTCTAGCGGACCAATCACAGCGCGTACCCTTCGGCGTACCCTGACGTGCACCTCTCCAAAAATGTAACAACGCGTCTATTCTACGCGTACCGCAAGCGCTGTGATTGGTCCGCTAGAACCGCTACCCGGCTTTCACATGCTCCCTCTGCATGTTTAATTGCGCGTCAACGCGGACAACGACGCAGAAGTATAAATGAAAACCAACGCGTAGTCTATAGCGTAGAGACTCCGGCGTAGGTCCAACGCAGAAGTATAAATCACCCTTACGACGTAGCTACGGCGTGAGTTCGACGCAGAAGTATAAATTGGGCTTTAGTCTCAGCGCGCGCTCTGATCGGTAAAGGTGCACAGACCTCTCCCTAATCATCTCCAGCACTCAGCCTCCGAAGCACCACTAACTCCGCCTCCGTTTCTCTCGTAAGATGATATTAGTATTTAAACATGATAAAAAAAATGTTTGTAAAAAATATTTTAATCGTCGAATCCCCGACTATTAGAAGTCAGCCCTAATGTTTATGATGTTATTTTACATTGTCAAATAGCATATATCTAACAAAATTCAATAAGGTGTATGCTCAAAACAAGACGACAAAATGTATTTTTGCCAAAAGAGTCTGGCATATTTCAGTGCGTCGTTTTCCTCTGTCAGCTCCTTTTATATCAATTAAAGGAGTTGAGAACAGTGTTATTGTGGTATTATTTAAACACTACTATAGTATTTGTTTCATGTATTGTATACTATAGCTGACTGTCAAAGTAAAAGGTCTGTTTTAAAGATCAAAATTCACGACAAATAAAGTTATTGTGTCCCAAAAGAAAGAATTGATTTTGAACTGCTAAACGAGTCATCAGCAATTCCACTCTCACTTCCTGTTACATACCAACGTCATACATTTGCATAATGCCAGCCTATGGCCTTCATTGACTGCCCGCGAATGATGTCTACTTTGATCCTCAAACACTGTAGTAGTAGCTGAGGCATGGAAGTGTTCATGTTGTCGACAAGACCCTGTTTTCAGCGCTTGCTAAAGTAAATCCAATTTGCATGCACTTCTAAAGAATGAGGACATGAATTGATAGGGTAAAACCAACGGCATCATTACTGTTCGTATCACTGTGTAACAAGTGCGGAGGAAGACTTCAGAGCTGAAATCCAGATATGATAATGGCCGTTTGGTTCCTGACACGCGCTGTGAGTGGTAAGATAAGTCACAACAGACTGGGCCGTCTGACCAATCAGAGCAGAGCAGGCTCTCAGAAAGGAGGAGTTTAAAGAGACTGACTCTACGAATGAACCGTTTTCAGAATCTTTTGAGAAATTAGGTGATGTGTTAAGAAAATTAAAGTGTTTTTGAATGCATGTGAACATTGTTGGAGACCTCCAAAACATAAAATCACGAACCTTTGAAATAGCATAGTAGCACTTTAGAAGACAATTTTTATTTAACACCAAGGAGGATACTAACCTCACAGCGGTGGTCCTCTTGCTCACAGGACTCAAAGGAAGGGGTCTGATAACTGGAAAGAGCCCCTGAGCACCAACACGTGAGCTATGCTGTATCACTCTCTGTGGAACTGCCAAAAAACAAACCCCACATTACAACTCATGCCATAAAACACACATAACAAATACTGGACTGGACTACACTGCTGTGATCACAGCAGATACAAGAACCCACATTTCCAGTAGTTTTGTGGTGGAATTATTTTTTCTCACAAATAGCATTTTATACCTAATACAATATTTTAGAGCTTGAGATAACTTGAGAAATTATAATCCTTATATAAATTGCCATGACTTATTAATATCTTTATCTTTTCCAAGAAGTCTAGAAATCACATTTTAAAAATTCTCCCATTTATCCAGGTTTTGGATATCCCTGGATAAATTAGGGAATTTTCAATAAAAACCTTGACCCTTCCAACTTGGTTCAAAATAAAACAAAATAAAAACAAAATAAAATGAGAAATATTATGTCAGTTACCTCTTGATTTTTTTATAGCCTATTTTAAATCATTTTTAAATGATTGGCTGAGAACCATCTGAAGAACATCACCCAGAGAAATCTTGTCCAACACACAAGAAAAGTTCACCCAAAATGAAAATCCTATCATGTGTTCCTCAAACAAAGCTATCGGACGGCTTCAGAAGACTTGAGGTTTAGTCTATGTGTTGTATGAATTATTATTATTTATTTTATTTACATGGAAAAGAGCAGCGTGAACATTGTGCTAAACATCTCATGGAAGAAAGTAATTTAGGTTTGGAACGACGAGAGAGCGGGCTGGACAATAGAACAGTCTGACAACTGGGAGGAACACATTATAAACCATATCACCATCAATATTAATTAGGTGATGCAATGTTTGCTCAAATGATTTGTTGAAAAGTCAATAATAGTGTTGACGCTACCGGTTTTGCAGCAGGCAAACACATGGAAAGTGATTCCCCAGTTAATCCCCTGAGGGCGAGTACATGATGACAGAAGTTTAATTTTTGGGTGAACTTGCTTTAAGAGACATGACAAATGAACACAGACAGCCTTCACAGGTGTCCAGCCACTCACAGACTGTAAGCACTATGACATTGGCTATAGCAAGCTTAAGTGAAGCGGCCTTGAGCTTAGGCTGTCCAGTCGACCACTTGACACACATACACACACACACTGAGCTCTTTGCTTTTATGTAGACAGCCATCAAGACATTCACATCAGTCAAACGCCAATAGCCTTGCTCAGACACTTTTCACAGGCAGCTCTGCCTCCATTATTCCATTATCAAGAGCAGACGAGAAGGAGAGAGCAGCCACTACAGACAGATAATGTATCCATTTCCTTCCATTTAGCTGCTTGCGGTGGAGTGGAAAGAGAGCACCCTGATTGGAATCGAATGGACATTTAAACGGCTGGGACACCAACAGGAGTGAAAGAGAGAGAAACAGATGGACTCAGAGGGAGAGAGAGAGAGAGAGAGAGAGAGAGAGAGATGAAGGAGCAGTTGTGGGAAATGAGAGAATCAGTGGCAAAAAAATAATGATTCCCAAGACATTACAAAGGTAATCTGTAGGCGCAAAGCAGCTATTTGTGTGATAAAGAGTTTTTATTTTTTTATAAATCAAAATCAAGGAGCTCTTGCAAGGCACTTTTAAAGGCTGCATGAAATCACTTTTTTTTTCCTTGTTTTGAAATATATTTCTTTGGGTGGGACATATCAAAGGACTTGTCATCTTTTAAAAAAAATAGTTTTACATGGCTAAGAGGCTACGTCACAGCCATGAACATGATTTTCTAGATGGTGGTGGTATTAGGAGGAGTGACATTCTCACTCCAGATAGCATTTGATTGGACGAAATCTGTGTAGTGCAGGATGAGTCAATATATTTTGTTCTGTTCACCCATAAGATGTAGACTGTAAAGAGATTTTTTTGTAAGATTTTGTAAAATTAACACAAATTCAGCAAGGACACATTAAATTGATAAAATTGACAGTAAAAACGTATAATTTTTTTTAAATGTCTACTTATTCTACAAATTAATGCTGTTCTTTTGAACTTTCTAATTATCAAAGAATCTAAATGTAAAGAAAAAAAAGGTTTTACGGTTTACCCAAAATATTTATGCAGCACAAATGTTTTCAACATTGATAATAAATCAGAAATGTTTCTTGAGCAGCAAATTATCGTATTACAATGATTTCTGAATGATCATGTGACACTGAAGACTGATCCTGAGCTTTGCATGACAAATAATAGATTAAAATAGAACATTTAAATTCTAATATAAGAGATGTAAGAGACAAAAACACTGAAAAAAATCGTACTGACCCCAACTTTTAAACTGATATACCCGAGATGTCACTTGAGGGAAAAATTACCTAATTGTGATGTGAGCACTGAGCAGCTTCATTGGAAAATGCAATGTTAGTGGAACAAGGAAAAGAGGCCGCCAAAAAAAGTGGTTTCTCAACACCATCAAGAGTGACACAGGCCTAGGCATAAGAACAGCTGAAAAAGGAAGCAGAAGACCGGAAAGCATGGCGAGAGACGGCCCATATGATCCTCAAGAGTTGGATACGACTGAATGGCTAATCATCATCATACCCGTTTATCTGCTAAAGCTATAAGGTTTCAAAGCTAATAGACATGAACTAAAAGCAACAAAACTCCAATTTTGATATAATGGAGTCTTTAAGAAAACAGAAAGGGGATATTACCTTGTAAGAGCACTCCTCCATTTTTTCTGAAGAGTGGACTTCCTGGCCATAGTGGAGGACTAAAAGATATAAACACAATCACATACAGAGAATCAATTAATGGAAAATAAACTAACAAAAACAAAACAACCTTTGTATTATGAACTTCCGAAATCCTAGTCAAAGACAGATAAAGGCAAAGGGGAGGAAAGAGAATCTGATTGGGTGGAATGCAAACTCAAGAGAGGTAGCAAAAGAATCGAATTGAACAAGTACAGACATCCTGGCGAAGCTTGGAAATCCAATTGTTTGATTAACTTGTTATAGACAGTGTAAAGCAATGTATCCAAATGGCTTATATTTTCAATAACAGTCGATATCATCCCTACACTTAGACTGACTCACTCCTTTAGTCTTGAAACTTCAAACACACCATGAGCATCATTTTTTAAAGTGATAGGGACAGTTGGCTGTGTTGGGGTTCACAGATGACATTCATCTAATCTCATTAATATTATTTCGATTACAATTTAACGTAGCCTTTTAGTGGTTTGGAAATGTTTGCATTGATACATTTCATTTTACATCTGCCACTGTTATTCCAGGGATTTTTTTTAGGTCAGCTGATGAATGCATGGTTCAGCATAATCGATTTGACAGAACTAATATTAATATATAATTATGATTTGGTCTAGTGGTAACATGTTTGCTCTGAGTATGAGCCGTTCTAATTGGATAATGTATGCATGCATTTTCTGTAAAGCTGCTTTGAAACTATATGTATTACAAAATGTGCTATAATTGAATTGTTTGGTTCTTCAACTGATGAAAAAAGCCAATAATTCAAAATTAAAGTAAAAAAAAAAAAACATTTCTTTTTTTGTAAACAGATTTTTTTTTTACTGTTTACACAGTAACTTACTTTTCCAATTTCCCAAAAGAGAAGAGACCACAAGCTACTGAGAGCGGCCCCTTCATCCCACAAGAGGAAGTGATTAAAAAAAGCAAGAAAACAGGAGCCAGCATCTGCTGTTGCTATGGAGTTTAGTGTTGCTAAGCCTATATATTTTTTCTTAGCACTAACTGTCTGTCCTATCTATGTTTTTTTCTTCTTTTGGCAGACAAATAGGTTTGTGCTTCTATTACACCTGTCTCATACATATGTTGCCATGGAGGTGCTCTGGTCGTCACAGCAACAGCAGAGGAGAAGAAACGACTCAGGAAGGGCAAGCGCGTGCCGCTTCTTTACATCCCACAGATTCCCCAGAGGACCATGTCCAGTTGCTGACGAAGAGTTCAGGAACGAGTGAAGGAACTGACCCAAAACCCTCAGACACTGAATCAATGTGTTCTTCACAGGAAGGTCATAAGAGAGGCCAACAAATAAAGGTGTATATATGAGCTTCCTTCAGTCTTCCTTTCTCTTTCTCTTTCTTGAGATTTGATTTAACTGAAGACAGTTTAACAATCAAAATTATTTTTACTGTGGTAAAGTCAACATCCACTTTGTCATTCCACACCAAGACAGGTTTTTGTGCCCAAGCTCTTTCTTTAGAGACGGAAAAGTCTGGACTATGATTTTCAGGGCCACACAAAATGGAAAGTGTGAATGTAAGTACTAGAAGAAAACCAATGAAGAGGGAAAAAAGCCATAGCTGGTAGTTGCAGAGGAAAAGAACAGAAAGGAAAAAGAAAAAGAAATGGACGGCCAAAAAAACTGAGTGAGAAATTGAGGCGTTACCTGTGGTATTGCTGAGGAGAGGCAGATGGGGAGGTAGGTGGTTTTGGAAGCCGAGGGGAATACGGATGATATGGAGTCTTCTTTAGCGCCTGGATCAGATTGTGTCTGTAGTCAGGATCAATAGACCAGAGAGAACCCTTTCCTATGCTCTAAAATACAAAAAAGACAAAATTACGCTCATGTTACACAGTATCTTTATTAAGATTAACAATATTCCAAGGTACTGTACAGCAGGAAGCCTACATCAAACATCACCAGGCAAGCACTGACCTGAAATCCTCAAAGAAAAAGGGAAAGAGGAAAGCAAGAAGATGGGTTACACCTGGAACGAGGTTGAAAGCCTATATCCCAAAAGGGGGGAACAGTAGGGCTGGGCAACTCTGGCTTTTCAGAACATGCTTTCCAGCAGGGTTTAGCTCCAATCCTAATCAAACACACCTGAACAAGCTAATCAAGGTCTGCAGGTCTGAGTTTGATCAGGGTTGAACTAAATTCTGCAGGAGAGTGGACCTCGAAGGCTAAAGTAGCCCAGCCCTGCTGTACAGGAACATACTTTAAATTGGGGGCTCGTCCAGGATAGGCAACTAGGACTTTACGGATCCCAAGAAAGAATCATACCTCTAAACCAGGGGTAGCCACTAGCCAACCCTACTCTTTGGGGGCTACCGTCTTAGAGAGTTTAGCTCCAACTCTAATCAAACATACCCGAACCAGCTAATCAAAATATTGAGGATTACTTGAAATAGCAAGGGGTGCATTCCCCAAAAGCATCTTTATCCAACTATGGTCGCAAGCTCCGTCGTTACCGACATAGTTGAACGATTTGGTGTTTCCCGAAAAGCATAGATCGCAAATGTATGTGGTTGGAGCTCTTGAGCTGTAGTTAGAAGCATCGTTTCATGTCAATATGACATAATTCTAAACGTGATTAAAACATTAACACTCAGATTAGCCTGATGCTCTCGCGAATCTTCAAAGTAATGACATGTGTATATATATTGGAACATATTGTATATGATCAATGAATACACATTTGCAAAGCACTGAGGAAACTGAACAGCAGGGATGAGGATTAGACCTTGCACTCGAGACCCTCGCTGTCTAGTGAACACAGAGGCACCTTTAAAACTGCCTCAACAGGCAACACTGGCATATATTTTTAGATCAAAGAAGCCATTCTCCACCTAATTAAGCTGTCTGCCCTCCATCAGGGGCTTCCAGAGCCACATTTCACTTTACCAAAAAACACAACTCACACAAGGCATGAAATTCAACCCATGCGCCTTTGATCTCGGCTCTCGTATTAAGCACAAAAATAAGTGAGACGGGATGATGAAAGCGCTCTGATATTATCGTAGTTACAGAACAGTCGCTATTGCAGTGATTGACAGTGTTTGCTGACACACCACTCACGGCAATTAGGGGTAGGTTTGATTAAACAGGCCGACAAGCTTGTAATTGCCAAATGGTTGGGGGAAGCAACTCTATTTCGCATTTGTGTGCATTTGTGTTTTTCACAGTGCTCAAGGAGCCATTGGCCCAGCGTGCCGTTTCCACCCGGGGTGCAGGGTAATTCAAATACACTCCCCATGACTTCATTCATAACTTCCCCTACCAGTCTTCCATCTGCCCTCAATTAGCTATCAACACGCCTGCAAAACAACATCACAGACTGACGTACATCATTCACAAGCTCCGGCACGGCATCCGGGTACGGCTCCAGCTCACCTGCTTGCCAGAACCACACGACCCCTCACTACAGGAGATAGAGGAGGAGCAGACAAGCACCTGTGGTTTCACTGGTCTCCAAGGCAACAAGTAGAAGAGAGGGATGGCTGGCTGTCTGGTCGGAAGGTTTGGCAGGAGATTCTCAGTCTACATGGAGACAATGATGGCGCTTTAAAACCAGCCCAGACCCATGTGCTAATCTTTCCCAACCGTGGTAAATGAGGAAAGCAGATTTCTGCCACAGACTCTACGCTGAGAGAGCCAGGATACATGATTGCCTATGCTTAGAGGAGAAGGTTTCTACTTATGGCTTATAAAGTATAACCATATTTTCATGAATATTAAAGGGGTCATATCATGGAAAACTGGAACACTAATATGAAGTCCGCCTGCGCAAAGAGTTTAGCCCAAGGGCTCAAGGTTTGTCTGATTAGAATAGTCAAGTTAGTCTCTCCTGGTGGAAGCTGTAAGTACACCAAATCTCACTCTACCGTGATTAAAATGTTTGCTACATATTCTGACGAAACAGAAAATCGTAAATTATTCATTATATGATAGTAGATGTTTTTGGAGAGCTCTTTAAAAGCATGAAATGAACCATCGCTTCTTGAAGGGTTTGGGAATGTGTATGGTTTTTTTTTGTTCCATCAGCCAATCAGCGTTATGAAAAAAATAGCAGCTTCAGAGTTATTAGCCACATGGCATTTATGACACACACTATTTGGTTAAAACAAACCTAGATGTGGAAATGAGTTTCCATGAGCCTGTTTTTGGAGGGTCGTGTGCCCAGCTAAGCAACTAAAATCATTGGAAACATTAACAAGATGTATTATGGAAACCCATAACATTTGCATGCAGAAGACTTAAAGGTACAGAAGCAAAAAAACAACAGGTCACTTAATTTCAAGTCTCAGACAGAGGGTTAAAATGGTCGTGTAAAACTAAATTAGCTTTTCGCTTAAGCTACCTTGACTAACATTATAAGTGGACTTCAGCAGGGGGAGAAAAAATAAAGTGCTACAAAAGTTAGCACTTTATCCCTTTAAAAAACAGACACACACAGCGCACTGAAAATTGCATTTGACTAGTACACTGAAGCACAAAATAGAGTGCAGACACATTTGTTATCTTTCACCTGTGCGTCTTGGCTGGAAGTTTGGAGGCCTGTAAGAAAGCTGAGACTGATCTACACTAGTAGTGTCTTCAAATCTGCTATTGAGTAACACACTGTGAATTATTATACAGAGGGCCAGATTTACTAACAGTGCAGCGTAACCCTATTTTGACATTAAAAAACTACTGTCAGGATTTAATAAAGACACGCAGTGAAAAATTAGCGCTGAAAAGGCATGCACGCAGTTATTTTTGTGGCTGACCTTATTGCATATATGCATTTGTAGGAGTTTCCATTTCAGATGCAAAATTTATGGTAGGAGAGTATTTAAATGAATCGCGCACGATGATTTACTAAGGACTAGTCAATTTAGTTCTCAAGTTAATTGGCCCTGTTTAGTAAATCTGGCCTCTAGTCTGCTGTAAACCCACAAGTTTGCCCTTCTCCTCCAAACACCCTTCTGATGTTTGTATATCAGAAAGATTAATTACCATTTTTAATCAAACCAAGAGAGACATTTAATAAATTGAATAGGACAAACATGTTTTATTTTTGTCAAAATATCTAGAAAAAAAATATTCTGAAATTATAATAATAATATAAAAACGTTCCAAACACAGTGGAAAATTAAACTAAATGAAACGCATGCATTCACATTTAATTCAGTTAATTCACAGTCTATATTAGACGGGTTAAATGAACATGTCAATTTCAGCAGATTAGTTTGGTATTCTGCCAGAGACTTACTTTGATTATTTTGTACTTAGTGAAATGTGATACAGCTGGCCAAGTAACCTGAACTTTAGCCACCATCATCAACATCACTGTGCTTCATACCACTTCCCTGAAATGTTCCCATATTTTACCCACACACACATATACAGACCTACTCACACACATAGCAACACAGCCAATCAGTTTTGCTGTTGCTACAGAAACTGCATGCTTTCATGTCAACTACAGCTTGGTTGCCATGGGAATACATATACAAGGAGAACTCTTTTGGCCGTAGTTAAGAACCAAAAGACAACACGACGACTTAGACAGGTACAAACACACACACACACACACACACACACACACACACACACACACAACGATGCAAACTCACTCTCCCAGAGCAAAAGGTGTTATTAATCTTTTCATCTGCTTTGATGTCAGTCTGCGACTTTATCATTATTTGTCACAATGATTACATTTTGTTTGTAGTTGCGCTTTGATTATAACCATACTATATTTTAATTATAATTATGGACATGTTTGCATATCCACAGCCCACATTCATAAAATCTCTTAAAAAACAACAACTCTTTAGTCTCGTTGACTAACTGGAAACTAATCCGTCATAAAGTCACTGTGGACTTTGATTTAAGGTTAATATTGCAATAATGGGTCAATGAGATGTCGCAATTTTTTTTCCTGTCCTACCTTACATTAACAATATAAAAATGTCAGGATGATACAAACATAATGAAAAAAGTCTTACTTTTTTTAACAAACCATTATTGATTTGTGTAACATAATTATTGCCATCATTAAGTAGTTTGGCTCTTATTATTATCTCTTAAAACAAAAAAAAATTCCTTAAACCTGAGAAGTTAGAGTTATTACTTTTGACTTGACCACTGTACAACATGACACTTTCAAATACTTAAAATTTAAAATTGCCATAAAGTTTTTTTTCGAACCCATATAAAACCGACTTGAAAACAAAATAGTACATTAAGAACTTAAAGAATTTTTTTTATCTTTTTGCAAATATTCTTAATCGTGGACACCACTGCTCCAAAAAATAATGGCAAAAATGTTCATAACTCCTAGACAGCACAAAGATAAAATAAAGAAATGTAAAGAAGCAAACAAAGCGTTCAAGAACATGTGCACACTTCTGGTTAAAGTATTTAAAATCTATCAGGTCGAAGAATTATGAATGGAAAATCAATCAGAAAGATGAAAGTATGAATTCTAAAAAAAACTAACCGGCTCTTTTACACCTTAAAGGGTTAGTTCACCCAAAAATGAAAATTATGTCATTAATGACTTTTTCCCTCATGTCGTCCCAAGCCCGTAAGACCGCCGTTCATCTTCGGAACACAGTTTAAGATATTTTAGATTTAGTCAGAGAGTTTTCTGTCCCTCCATTGAAAATGTATACACGGTATACTGTCCTTGTCCAGAAAGGAAATAAAGACATCATCAAAGTAGTCCATGTGACATCAGTGGGTTAGTTAGAATGTTTTGAAGCATCGAAAATACATTTTGGTCCAAAAATAAATAACTACGACTTTATTCAGCATTGTATTGTCTTCCAGTTCTGTTGTCAATCCGCGTTCACGAGTCTGCAGTGACGCTGATGACGTAAGACGCTGCTGACGAGTTATCTAGTGCGCCCGTGTATTCGGGTTCAAATAAATATGGCTGGGCAAAAAAATGCAAGTCTTCCTCTGTGTCGAAATCCTTAGACATGTTTGCGAAGATTGTTTTGTTTACAGCGTGCGTCTCCCTCAGACTGTAAACGAAGCTCGGGCGCACTGATAACACGTCAGCAGCGTCACTGAACGCGGATTGATAACAGAACCGGAAGACAATACAATGCTGAATAAAGTCGTAGTTATTTATTTTTGGACCAAAATGTATTTTCGATGCTTCAAAACATTCTAACTAACCCACTGGTGTCACATGGACTACTTTGATGATGTCTTTATTTCCTTTCTGGACAAGGACAGTACACCGTACATACATTTTCAATGGAGGGACAGAAAGCTCTCGGACTAAATCTAAAATATCTTAAACTGTGTTCCGAAGATGAACGGCGGTCTTACGGGCTTGGAACGACATGAGGGTGAGTCATTAATGACATAATTTTCATTTTTGGGTGAACTAACCCTTTAAGCCTCAGTAAACCTCAGTGAAACACAAGCCCTCACCTGACTGCGATCCTTATCCACCTTCTTGAAGCATTTGTTTAGCGACAGATTATGACGCACTGAATTCTTCCAGCCAGTGGGGGCGCTAGCGAAGTAAGGGAAGTGCTCCAGTATCCAGCCGTAGATGTCTTTGACAGGAAGTCTCTTAGAGGGAGCGTCCTCTATTGCCATGAAGATGAGGCAGCTGAAGGAGTATGGAGGTTTGCGGCTGGGACCCGTGGACAGGTGGTAGGGCGGCTCGCTGGGCTCGGGGGAGGACGACGGCGAGGTCGAGGGCTCGCGGCCACCGTTAGCGTCCTGCAGGGGGCTGACGCTACGCAGGCCGGAGTGGCCCAGACTGGTCAGCAGATCCGTGCTCTCGTGCAACCAGCTGAGGCTGGTCAGCTCCTCGTCCTCGGCCCGGCTGAGGGAGGCAGAGAGGGCCAGAGAGAGGTCAGCGGCCTCGGTGTCCTGGTAGAGCTGACTCAGACCCCGCGCCACGCTCCCACTGCTGGGGCCCTCGGCCTTCTTCCCTGGGGGCATGACCACTGGACCCATGCAGCCCTCGGCTCCTGCAGAGACACCAGAAGCACACTTTAAAGTGACCGCTGGTTTTTATGACAATTTTGTTTTTAATCAAGTATTCATGAAAAGGCTTAATTGGAACTCTTATGTAAGCTGAATCTTTTGGTATGGAAGGCCATTTTCACCACAAAATCATGCTTTGGTAAATGACAGTAAAAAATTATGACAAAAAATCTAAATCATGACATAAAAAGTAAGAATTATGACATACTAAGTCATAACTATAAGATTTAAAAATCTAAATTATGACTTAGTATGTCAATTATGACGTGTTAGAAATTATGTTGAATAAATATTTGAAAGTACGAATATATATTTGACATTATGACATACTGCCAAGTTGAAAAGGCAAAATTATTCCTTTTCGTCATATTTAGGACTTATGCCATAATTTCGACTTTTTAAAAGGGATACTACAAAGCAGGGAAAATGGGGTTTCAATAAAACTTGGCTGTCTATACAGTAGAAAGGCGAGAAAAAAGTGAAATTGGCGCTACCTAACTAGAAAAAAAAAGGCTGTTGTCTTCCCTTTTGCCAGCTAGGTAGGAAAACTTCAACACCCATAATGCACTGGGCATGATGCCACTTCCACCAGTCGGCTATAGATATGCTTGCCAGAGTCAAATACTGCCTTGCTTTAGTAGGAAATACTTCTTAGCAAACTTTTTAGTCATTAGCCATTATGGAGCCGACTTGTATTGTTCCCGGGTGCAAGAATTCAAAGAGTAAAGGTTTAGCGGGAGCGAGTTATTTTCAGTTTCCAGTAAAGGATCCAGCGCATTTGTAGGCAGCGAAATCAGAAATACGGAGAGAGCGCTGCAACAGACCATCTGAAAAACCTCAGTGTTCGTAGTTAACTTTGGACGACCACAAACTTTTTGCGTATGTGTGGTTTCAGTCATTCCAATGTTTTTTCGTAAATTTAGAATCAATTTTATTACGAAATTTTGGGTGCAATTTTATTACGATTTGTTGTTAAAACGCTGTTTAATACAAGTAAGAAAGCTGTTGCCATAGTGTTACAATACTCCATACTATTGTACTCTTACAATAACTGTTTTGTTAATAACCCTCTGTCGATCTGACTGTCTGTGGGCAGGGATACAAAAATGCGGAAGCATAATCTGTAGTTTTCATGAAAATCCTGGAGCTGTCAAAACTGACAAATAAACATGAATTTCTTGTTCCAGGTAACATGAGTAAACATTGTTCTTTTACATTTTCTACTGACACTGTAACAATACAAAAATCAGCGAAGTTACACAAAGTCATAATTTCGACTTATGTCATATTTATGATTGACTAAAGCTACTGCTGTGCCCAGCACATTTGTGTGCAGTCTAGGAGGAACGTGTTGCTCAGTATTGCATACAGGGACTTTTGTGAGGTGAGTGCCATTAAAAGTTAAACTTCTGTTCTCTATTATTTGCTCGCTGTATGATGTGAGATTTGAGTTTTGCCGCTTTTGGTTTTAATCAAACATATGGTTAGTAAAATCTAGCGTTTAGGGTTAACAAATACATGAGGCTAAAATCAATGCTTGTTACATTTACTTTAATCTCTTACATCTGTAGATCTTCCCTCGAAACAAACATACTCCAGAGAGAAATGAGACTAAAAATCAGCGTGAGAACTTGCAACTACTTCCATATTTCTGAGGTGAGACCATCAAACAGGAAAAAGACTGAGTTGACACACTCAACAAATGCAGTTTATTCATGATGAATAGTCAAATTCCAAATTCACAATTCACATTATATCAATATAAACAGAGCAGAGAAGACAAGCTACTTCAGCTAAACTCACAAGTCAAATTAGTAGCAATTTTAACTACTAAAAAAAAGCTGCTTTTAACACAAACATTAGATTTTTAGGGGTCCAACAGAGAAGAATAATGGCTAAATTTGGGTCTGGCCCCATTCAAAGGCTTCAGAAGACTTGAAATATGATACTTTAGGTGCTTTTTTGATACTTTTTGATACTTAGGTGCTTTTTTGACACTTTGTTACTCAAGGGGCTTTCTGTTCTTTTAGGAGATTGACAGTACAAATGAACATTTACTTATGGAAAACAAAGTAATCTCTCCATATAATTATATATATATAATTTTCAAAGAAGAAAAAAATAGGGGGTCCGCATGAAATGAGGCTAAGTAAATGCTAACAAAATTTAAAGGGTTACCAAATATAAAATTTATATCTCAGAATTGCAAAATTCCTTTATAGAATTGCGCAATTTAGATTATACCTCGAAATTGAGAAAAAGGTCAAAATTGCGAGAGAGAAATAAAAGTTAGAAATGTGAGAAGGTCGCAATTACCTTTTTAATTTTTTTTATTTTGTGGTGGAAACAAGCTTCCATAGATAAGGCAGCTTTTTTCTGTCTCGAGAAGAGTAAAAAATTAAACAGACAACGGAGATAAAATAAATAAAGTTGCATTTATGTGATTTAAAGTTGCATTGAGAGTTAAAAAAGTCATAATGAGAAAGATTTGAGCAATTATGACAAAGAAATTGTGAAAGTTGCAGTAAAGAGAAACAAAGTCTCAACTTTGGGAAAAGTAAATGCGCAAAATAAAGTAACAACTGCGAGATATAGAAAATTGTGAATTATTTTCCAGAATTATGAGAAGTTGCTATTATTAGATGTAAAGCTAAAATTACCTTTTTACATACAAAAATCACGTTATAACAAGGATGCAACCGTTTTACAATGGAAAATCTGATAAAGTGTTCTCGTGACAGCAGCCTGTTTTTGTGCGTGTGTGTGTGTGTGTGTGAGAGAGAGGTTTCTGGGAGGTAAGCTTAGCACGAGGTTGGATTGTAGTACAAGTAAGCCTGACACTATCTTCAGATGCATAAAATCTAAATACGAATTTATCACACACTGCCCAAGTCACAGTAGGTAATCCAGTTAATCTCTCCCTACAGCATTACCCGTCACTTTTAACCCTCTCTCTCTGACACCCATGCCAACACGTACCCACACACAATTATACATATGCCGTACTAACATGTCAACTGATGTGCCAGGGGCAGCACCCCCTGATAAGGCCGTTCGATCAGTCAATATCAGCATATGCAGCTGAGCACTCCTTGGAAAATGCACAGTCACGCCTTAGGGCTGCTTTTGACACTCGCGTTTACATGTCAAAGCAGCAGCTCTCTTCCCTCGCTTTGATTGACAGCTGACAGCTTGCGCTGCATTGCTAATACAGCATCTGTCTCCACGGCAACGGAGCGAGAATATTATCCATCCTCGCAATCTGGAGCAGAGATTCCCTGGGGTCAGTCAAGGCACGGCTGCGTTTATGAGGCAGATTATACAAATGCGGACGGCATCACATCCACATCACAACCGAGGTCTCAGCTAGAATCAACTGCATATTAACAAAAACGGTGAAAAACTAAAATCTGTTTCACTAAAATACAAGAGAAAACGGTTACAGCCCATAATTTAATTTAATGTGTCAAATAAAGAGAGAAAATAATACTAATAAACGTTTTTTTTTAGGTATAGAATGATGGTATCTAATGAATAGGATTTTTCGAAATTGCAAATATAGATTCTTGGAGTATGTTTTACAAGAATATGCTTTTTCAGTTTTTTTCTATTTAAATTTTGCGTTTCTTTAATTTACTAGCAATTTCTGAGTGAAAATTGTTTATACACTAAATTTTTGTCAGTGTACTTTGTTATTGTTAATAAAACAGCATTTACATGTTACTCCAAAGTACTTGATCATTTATCTTGATTATATTCTTCAAAAATATATAGTATTGGAAAAAAAAATTCATGATCAATCTGTATCAAATTGGCCAAAATATGAAAGCCAATAAATAAATCTGTAAGGAAAGCAGTGGGCTGGCGGGTCAGTTATTATGAAGGTTAACAGCGTGAAGGTGTTTTCTTGGAACATATAAATGCCCATATACACACGATATACAGTTTTGCTTTTTATGTATCCATAGTGGCCCTGCCACAAAACGTTACATCTGACAGAAAAGGGCCAGCTAATTTTACTGTTGCTATGACAACAAACTACTCGAACAGGGTACCATTGGGGCTGCCAGTGAACTTCCCCTGCGCTCAAGAATCAATTACATCTTACCGATCACAAACAAAGTTTGAAAGAGGTTTTTGTTTTAGCTCTTAAGAACCCCTCAGAAATATGGGAGCAAGATGTTACAGGTGAGAGTTGTGACATATGACCAGAGAGATGTGAAAACTGAAAAAGGCAAACAACAGCTCGCCCAAATGCCCATTAGTGCCTCCATCTAATGTAAACATTACAGGCATTTTGGCTCAGTGTAAACAAAAGAAACTTTAAAACTCAGCATCTGCTTTATACTGCAAGCTCTCTCACAAGAAGTACCACAGCATCATTATGGTGTTTTTTGACATACCTTGGATACCAATTAAATATATACTATGGTATGAATTCAATTAAACTCAAATTTAAATCATTCAGTTAAAGCGTTCTCCAATGAAAGCTCACGGTAAACATTGACATTATTACAAATCATGTAGGGCAATTTGACTTGATTTATTAATTTAATATAACCATGGATTAAACAAATGATTCAGTTAAGCTTTCTCCCATTAAAGCTCATGGTTATTATACAAATATAGTGACATTATTACAAAATATATAGGGCAATTTGACTTGTTCTGCATTTCATTTGTTGTTTAGTTTAGTTTTATTTTACTTCACAAATGGAAGAAGGGTTGAAACATCAGTCATTTTTCTAAGATGGCACAACTAGCAAAAAACATCACTCATCAGACTAAAGTCAAAATATTATACTATATTTTGTATGACTTTTTTGCACAGCTGTTAGACCTTGCACTAATGCTTAACTTGGCAAAACAAAATAAAAAACAAGAACCAAAATAAAACATAAAAAGGCACAAAAAAACTAAAACAAGAACCAAAAAAAAAAAAAACCCCAAAAAAACATAAAAGGTCAAACAAAACAAGAGCCAA